TTTGTTATTTTTCAAGATTTCTTTCACTATTTGGGGTCTTTTTGGTTCCATACAAATTTTAGTATTATTCTAGTCCTGTGAAAAATACTGTTGGTATTTCTATAGGACTGCATTGAATCTGTAGATTGCTTGGAGCATATGGACATTTTAACAGTGTTAATTCTTCCAGCCCATGAGCATGGAATATCTTTCCGTTTGTTTTTGTCATCTTCAATTTCTTTCATCAATGTCTTATAGTTTGGTTGATTCCTAGGTATTTTATTCTTTTTGGTGCAGTTATAAATGGAATTGCTTTCTTAATTTATCTTTATTGCTACTATGTTATTAGTATATAGAAATACCACCAATTTCTGTGTATTAATTTTGTGTCCTGCAGCTTTACTGAATTGATTTAGTACTTCTAATATAGTTTTTTTTTGGTGGAGTCTTTAGGGTTTTCTATGTATAGTATTATGACATCTGCAAATAGTGACAGTTAAAAGGCATCCAAATTGGTAAGGAAGTATTTAATCTTTTTTTTAGCCCATTGCTGTGGCTAGGATTCTCACTACTATGCTGAATAAAAGTTGTGAGAGTGGGCACACTCTCCTTGTCTTATTCCTGATCTTAGAGGAAAAGTTCTCAATTTTTTACCATGGAGTTATGATGTTTGCTGTGGGCTTTTCATATATGACCTTTATTATGTTGAGGTATGTTCCCTGTAAACCCACTCTATTGAGAGTTTTTATCACCAACTGATGCTGGATTTTGTTAAAGCTTTTTCCGCATCTACTGAGATGATCATATCACTTTTATCCTTCATTTTGTTGATATGTATCATATTGACTGATCTTGCATCCCCAGAAAAAAATCCTACTTGATGATGGTAAATGATCCTTGTTGAATGTGGTTTGCTAATACTTTGTTCAGAATTTTGGCACTTTGTTCATCAGGGATATTGCCTGTGGTTTTCTCTTTTTTTAGTGTCTTTTGTTTTAGTATAAGGATTAATTCTGGCCTCCTAGAGTGTACTTGGAAGCTTTCTTTGCTCTTCTATTTTTTAGAATAGATTGAGGAAAATAATCTCTTTAAATGTTTGGTAGAATTCACTGTGAATCCATCTGGCCCTGGGCTTTTTGTTGTTGTTGTTGGTACTTTTTTGATTACCAATTTCATTTCATTCCTAATAATTGGTCTGTTCAGATTTTCTATTTCTTCCTGATTCAGTTTAGAAGACTGTTTCTAGGAATTTATCCATTTCTTCTAGGTTGTCCAGTTTGTTGGCATGTAATGTTTTGTACTGTTCTTTATAATCCTTTATATTTCTGTTGTGCTGGATGTTCTCTTTCATTTCTGATTTTATTTACTTGAGTCCTTTCTCTTTTTTTCCTGACAGACTGGCTAAAGGTTTATCCGTTCTGTTTAACTCTTCAGAGAAGTGGCTCTTGGTTTTCATTGATTTTTTTTTTCTATTGGTTTATGTATTAGTCTCAATTTCATTTGAAGCTCTAATCTTTGTTATTTCCTATCTTCTATTAACCTTTGACTTTGTTCTTTTCTAGCTCCTTTAGACATAAGGTTAGACTGTTTGAGATTTTTTTCTTGTTTCTTGAGATAAGCCAGTATAGTATCACTATAAATTTTCTTCTTACAACTGCTTTCACTCTGTCCCAAAGATTTTGAATCATTGTGTTTTCATTTTCATTTGTGTCTATTATTTCCTCTTCGATTTCTTCGTTGACCTATTGCTTGTTCAGTAACATGTTGTCTAGCCTTCACATCTTCGTGTTTTTTCAGTTTTCTTCTTGTGATTAATTTCCAGTCTCATACTGTTGTGGTTGGAAAAGATGCATGATATGATTTCAGTCTTCTTAAAATTTGAGACTTGAAGTTCACCATCTTTTGTGGTCAAGTTTCATGGCACCCCAAAACAATTATATAGTAACATCAAAGATCACTGATCAACAAATAATAATGAAAAGTTTAAAATATTGCAAGAATTACCAAAATCTGACACAGAGACAGGAAGTAAGCAAATGCTATTGGAAAAATGACACTGATAGATATACTCGCCATGGGGTTGCCACAAACCATTAGTTTGGGGGGGGGGACACAATTGTCTGTGAAGTATAGTAAAACAGGTATGCCTGTACTTAATTTAAAGGTTGGCAACTTTCTTTTTCTTTTTTTTAGATTTTATTTATTTATTTGAGAGAGAGTACGCCAGCACAAGCAGGGGGAATGGCAGGTAGAGGGAGAAGCAGGCTCCCCACTGAGCAAGGAGCCTGGTGCGGGGCTTGATCCCAGGACCCTGGGATCATGACCCAAGCTGAAGGCAAATGCTCAACCGACTGAGCCACCCAGGTGCCCCAAGGTTGGCAACTTTCAAAAAAAAGTTGAGATTTCTTTATGTTGGCCAAACCTAACACCTATAAGCCAATTTCAGTTTGTGACCTCTGCTATAGCAATAACAATTTAATTATCATAGCTACCACTTTCTGAGCAGAGAGGTTTAGCAACTTGCCCAGGGTTTCACAGCTAGTAATAGGGGAGTCAGGACTGTACTGCATGCGTGTCTTACTCCAAAGCCTGTGCTCTGAAGCACTAGTCTCTTGTGCCTACCACATATAGTCATCTATATGAGTCTGTCACCTTTTTTCTGTAAAGGGCCAGATTATAAATATTTTCAACTTTGCAGGCTGTGAGGTCTCTGTCACAACTACTCAACTGCCGTTGTGGTGCAAAATCAGCCAGAGACAATATGTAAACAAATGAGCTTGGCTGTGTTCCAATAAAACTTTATTTACAAATATAGATGGTAGGCCAGATATGGCCCATGGACAATAGTTTACTAACACTTGCTTTAAGGGAAGAAATGTTATCTACATTTTGTAGCCCTAAAAAGCAAGGTTGAAAGGGAAGACTTGTCTGAGGCCATATTCTGTGTTCACTGTCACCCAAGCAACACTTTATTGCCACTACCAGATATTCTGTACTTATTTGAAAGAAGTAAGTCTGAATTTTTCTAAAACTATTCTGCAGTGTACAGTCATCTCCCCTGCCCGTGTATAGCTCAGGACTGTAGATTATAATGCAAGAAAAAAACATTTATATGACTTCTGGTTCAGTGTTCCAACAGTAACCCAGATAGCTAATGACAGATGGTTCTACAAAGAGTTCTGCAAAAAAGGACGCCTGGGTGGCTCAGTTGGTTAAGTGTCTGCCTTTGGCTCAGGTCATGATCCCATCTGGGATCGAGTCCTGCATCAGGCTCCTTGTTCAGCGGGGAGTTTGCTTCTCCCTCTCCCTCTGCCCCTCCCCCACCGCTTGTAGTCTCCCTCTCTCAAATAAATAAAATCTTTTTTTTTAAAGATTTTATTTATTTATTTGAGAGAGAGAGAGCACGAGAGGGAAGAGGGTCAGAGGGAGAAGCAGACTCCCCGCCGAGCAGGGAGCCCGATGCGGGACTCGATCCCGAGACTCCAGGAGCATGACCTAAGCCGAAGGCAGTCGCTTAACCAACTGAGCCACCCAGGCGCCTCTCTTTTTTTTTTTTAAGATTTTATTTATTTGAGGGGCGTCTGTGCCCCTTTTTAAGATTTTATTTATTTGAGGGGCGCCTGCGCCCCTTTTTAAGATTTTATTTATTTGAGGGGCGCCTGGGTGGCTCAGTTGGTTAAGCGACTGCCTTCGGCTTAGGTCATGCTCCTGGAGTCCCGGGATCGAGTCCCGCATCGGGCTCCCTGCTCGGCGGGGAGTCTGCTTCTCCCTCTGACCCTCTTCCCTCTCGTGCTCTCTCTCTCTCTCTCTCTCTCAAATAAATAAATAAAATCTTTAAAAAAAAAGAATTCTGCATAATAGCAGCCCGACAGGCAAAATCCAATGCAGCTCCCAAGACATACACTGTGGTACCTCCCCTAAATCCAGGTGCCCTGGAAATAATGAGGCAGTTGCTAGAGGCAACATGATCATTCATTTTCAAACTCTCTCTCAGGATGTGCCAAGGATATAGAACACCCACATAAGAGAACCAGGTGAACATTTATTTCCTGATACCAGAGTCAACCTATGTCAGGAGGAGCATTATTGATTTCAAAAGTCCCAACAGGCCGTGATTAGAGAAAATGATAAACATAGGCCTGCTAAGAGGAAGGTCTGGGACCGTGGCCAGCTTCCAGACAAAAAGCTCCATTAACACAGATAGAGAAGCCTCACTTCAAGGACTCCCAAGGCCATTAGACAGCTGAGCTGGGCAGCTGCCTCTTGTCCAGAGCACAGTTAGAACAAGCAGAGCGGATGTATGATGGTGGAACAAACCTCAGGGCTTCAGGATACCTGATCAAGGGCAATTAGGGGGTAGCTCTCTCCTCAGAGAGTTTAGGAGTGGAAGGAAAGGAGTATGTCCTTGGTCTGTTCTATGAGCTGGCTAATAACTTTTTGCATCACACCGCACAATATTCACATCCACTTTAAAACTGACCACACTGAGGACCTGTAATGGTTAATTTTATGTGTCAACCTCGCAAGACCATGGTGCCCAGTTGTTTGGTCAAACACCCATGGAGATGTCATTGGGAAGAAACTTTTAGATGTGATTAATATTTAACTCAGTAGACTCTGAGGAAAGCAGATTACCCTCCCTAATGTGAGTGAGCCTCGTCCAACTAGTTGAAGGCCTTAAGACTGAGGTTCCCCTAAGGAAAAAGGAATTCTGCCTCTAGACTGCCCTGGGACTCAAAACTGCAACATCAACTCTTCCCTGGGTCTCCAATCTGCAACCTGCCCTGCAGATTTCAGACTTAGCAGCCATCCACAACTGTATGAGCCAGTTTCTTCAAGTAAATCTATAAATCCGTATCTTATTTATATCTGTATTCACATTGTAGGCAGACACCTGTGGTTCAGCATGGAGAAGAGCCTACCACCGAGCCCACAAGCCCAGACATGGTTACCTTTTTGCGTGGCCGAAGCTTGTCCCGCCATTCCTTCAGGTTCTGGTTATGGCTCTCATCTAGAGCCTTCAGCTTCTGGGTTTCATGTTCTACCAGGAGGTGACACTTTTCATTCTGGAACAAATTCCAGACAGAACAGGTAAGAAACTCAGAAGGCAGAGGTGGAGAAGGCTGCAGCGTACCTCATGCTGTAGTCGTGATGGCACCAGCATTATGTTCATTTTTTATTTCTTCTCCTTGATTATAATTTATATGAAACTCTATAAGTACATAGATACCAAGATATGCCTGGAGGAATATTTCAGAATATTCATGTTAATAATTCTTATTATGTGATGGGATCTGCAGTAATTTGCAGCTTTCTTCTTTGTGCTTTTTTGTGTTGTTTGAATTTTTCAACATGAACATATGTCACTTTAACAAAACTATAAAACATTAACAATAAATAAAAATAAGTCCCCTAATCCCACCACTAGAGGCAAACCACTGCAACAGTTTAGATGTTCTCAGTGTTGTTTAGCTCACCCTGTATATACATTTCTGAAACCTGCTTCCCCCAACCCCTAACATTATAATGTAAACATTTCTACAAAGAATTAACATTTTTCATAATCATTTTTAATGCCTACAGAATATCCCACAGTGTGGATTCATCAAGTTTTCTTAAACATTCCCCTATGTCTGGTCACTTAGGTTGCTCTTAATTTTCACTATTTTAAATAGCATTGTATTTGTGCTTTGGACTGAATTGTGTCTCCCCCAAATTCATATGTTGAAGCCCTAATGCCCAGTGTGATGGTATTTGGAGGTGGGACCTTTAGGAAAAAATTAAGTTTAGTTGAGGTCCTAGGGGTGGGGCCCTCATGATGGGATTAGTGTCCTTAGAAGAGACACTAAAGAGGTTTCTTTCTCTTTCTCTCTTCCATGTGAGGAGAAAGCAAGAAGGCAGCCATCTGCAAGCCAGGAAGAGAGGCTTCACCAGAACCCAGCCGCACTGGTAAGCTGATCTTCCAGGCTCCAAAATTGTGAGAAAATAAACTGTTGTTTAGGCCACCCAGACTGGTATTTCATTATGGCAGCCAGAGTTAAGATTCACTATATATGTAATCTTCTGTATTGTATGTCATTTCTTCAGGAGAAATTTGTAGTAAGGATGAGGACATGGACCTGAATGAGACACTCCCAACATTACCGTTCTCTCTCTGAGGTAAGTTATCCGTCTCACAAAAGTTATGTAGAATTTCTCACAGGCAAAAGGGACAAGTCCCTGTTGATTCCTCACAGAGAATATAAAGTAAGGGGCAAGTACCTTCATCCAGATACCTCAACGTTTTGGGCTGGAAGAGTGAAACCTATTGGGGGATTTTCATTTTGGGCTTCTGAGAGTTTAGAAATCGGTTTAGTTAGAAACAGTACTCCTAGCAGCATGGAGTACCTTTGACCTGCCAGGAGCTGGGCCCCTGGGACTTTATATGGGTTCTCTTAGTTAATGCTCCCAGTAACTCCATGAGGCAGGGATAGGAAAACAGATGCAGAAGGTGAGGGAGTTGGCTAAAATTCACACAGCAACAAATGGCAGAGTCCCTACCTGACAGGCTTCAGCGCCTGTCATGTTTTCTCCACACCTCTCTGCCTCTCCCGAAATTGCCACATGGGTCCAATAGCCTGAGCAATTTCCTGAAATCAGAGGTTTGAGTTGGCCCATCCCTCAGGTATGGCAATGCCTTGCTCCACCACAAGGGGGCGCCAAGTACCAGCTCCTGGGGTGGCGCCCTGCAGGCATGGGGCAAGCTCAGGAGTCAGGAATCTTGAAGAGGTCAGGATCTCCCCGGGGAAAGGGGTCACCAAGAGGTTGACAACATCAGGATACCCTTCCCTGATCTCAGTGGGAAAGCTGTGAGCCTCTTGCCATTAAGGATGATATGAGATGTAGGTTTTTGTGGGTGTTCTTTGTCAAATTGAGGAAGTTGCCCTCTGTTTCTAGTTTACTAAGAGTGTTCTCATGATTGAGTGTTGGGTTTTGTCAGATGCTTTTTTGCATCTGTTGATGTGATCATGTGGTTCTTGTTTAGCTTGTTGATGTTCTGGATTACACTGATTTTTGAATGTTGAGTCAGCCTGGGATAAAGCCCACTTGGATTCTTTTTATATGTTGTTGGAGTCCATTTGCTAATATTTTGTTGAGGATTTGTGCATCTGTCTTTACGAGAGAGAGTGGTTTGCTGTTTTCCTTACTTATAATGTCTAGTTTTGGTATGAGGATAACTGGGACACCGTGTCCCAAGACACAGTGATGACCAAGAAATCCAGCAGCACGCCACGGCCAGGCCCCAGGCAAGGCACTTTCAGTCAGTTATCTCATTTACAGAGCCTCACTCCAGTCCTACAAAGTAGGAATTCTCACCCCCACCCCATAGCCGTTCACAGCCTGGGAGGGGATGGGATTTGGCCAGTATTACACAGCAGGATGTAAACGGTCTTAGCCCAGGCTCCTTTGATGAGAGTCTCTGGTCCCTGAGAGTGGACTGCTTTGAGGGAAACTGAGGCAGTCCAAGAAGGGGGGCAGGGAGGGCTGTACCTGCAGCTGCTGCAGCTCACTCATGTTGCTCTCACACTGTGCCATCATGTCCCGCATCTGGTTCTCATGTTTTTGCTGCTGCTGCAGCCGCTCTGACTTCTGCCTCTTCTCCTCTTGCTGGGAGAACTGCAACAGAGAGAGGGTGAGTGCCTCAGAGGGCCACAGGCCTGGCCGGGGGACCGACCTCCACCCGTCAGAGGGGCTGCTTTGTGCACAACCCGAGTTGTGCCCTACAGCATTCAGGCTATGCATGCCCTCCTCCTGAGCTGAGACCCAGGCTGGTAGGGACACAACATTGTGTTGTTGTGACATAGGCCCACGGCCACCGACTCCACGTCCCCAAGACACAGGGGTGACACGCAGGGGGCGTCTTAGTAGACAAGAGGAAGGGGTTTACCAGCAGAGGAAGCCGCAGGACTGAGGCACCAGCATCCGAAAGGGAACGTGAGCAAGCTTCTTCCTCTGTCCAGCAGAGCAGGGGCTGATGAGGGTGTGACTGGCACTCCTCCTCCAAGACCCGGTGCTGCAGCTTATATTTTCTATTCCCCCATCCATATAAGGTTCAGGCCCCACCAAACCTGCAGCACACCCACAGGGCCCCCACCTGCTTGATCTTCTCGCGCTGCTCAGAGGCACTGCCTGCGCCGTTGATGTGGAGGCTCTTCTTGTACATGGCCATGCGCGTCTTGCCCTCGCTCCTCTGAATCTTGGGCAGCCGTGCTTTCTCCTGCTGCTGCCGCACCTTCAGCTGCTCCATCATGCGCTGATTGTAGCGCTGCATCTGCTCCCGCTCCTGAGGGGACAGCCAGCCGGGCCTGAGGCCACGTGTGCTCTGGGCCCCGGGGGGTGTGAGGAGAGGCCCAGGCCCCGTGTGGCCCCGAATGCTCAGCAGAGCAAGGCTGCTATCATTTTACTTCTACTGTTCATTTTTAAAGTGAGAACAGAAAATGTTACTTTTTGTTAATGTTTTGGATTTTTACCTTCTAAATGCCTTCTTGTATCATCTGTGGTGGCAGGCCATTAAAGCTAATACTTCAGGGCAAAATGTACACTAACAGGGACAGTTCATCATTCTTGATGGCAGGTGTCAGTTAAAAGTCTTACTAAATTTGAGTTTTTCCTTCACCTAACACATGTTTGTATTTCAAAACTTGGCATGGCCATCATCTCCTCCAAGGAGCCTCCCCTGACTTCCTAGCCAGGGTGGGCACCCTCGTTAGAGCCGCCATAGCCCTCTGCTGACCGTCATCACTGCATTTAGATTAGGAATTGTAACTACCCACTGTACACGCATACCTCGGCTTGTCTGTCTCGGTTCCCACTAAGGGCATCAAGCCAAGACAGACAATCACACAGAAGTTGAGGGTGCTCTGGCCACAAAGAGCAGGGGCCCTTGCCTGGTCTGAGGGGGTTAAGGAAGGCTTCCTGGCAGAGGTGGTGTTTAAGTTGAGACTTAAAAGCATTCTGAGGGAATGCATGTGAAAGACAGAGATAAGGGGAAAATGGAAAGATGAAGGAAAAGGGAAAAAAGTGAAAGACACACCCTAGGGAGTCCATGAGGGAGCTCCCGTCTGCTGCCCTGCATGGTCTCCCCTATTCCTGGCCCCTCCACCTGAGGCAGGACATCCCAAGAACCTCCCCGGGCCTCACCATGACCAACACCTGGCTCCTCTTGGGGGCACAGCTCGTATTCAAGGGGCTCCCCGTCACAGTGTGGCCTCACCACCCTACCCAGCTCTTTTTGTGGCAGCCCTGGTGGCCCGCCCAGCCAGGGACCTCCTCACCTTCTCGTGCTTGCGCACCAGCTCATGCCGCTGGAGAAAGTACTGGTCTTTGAGCTGCTGCTTCACCAGCTGGTGCCTCTCCTGCAGGTGATGCTCCTCCATTTCCCACAGGGCTGCCTCCCGGTCTGTGGAGGATGAGGCCTGATGAGATGCTAATGGCCAGAACCCCACTGGGCCCTGCCCAGCATCAGATGATAGCTCCCAGGGGAGTGGTACACCAGGAAGTGACTGGAGTCAGAAGCCAGAGAAACCAGAGACCTAGGCTGGAGCCCAGCTCATTCACTAGGATTTGGGACAGGCGGTAAACCCTCTCCGGGCTTCCATTCCTGCCTCTGCCAAATGGGTACAACCACACCACAGAGGGAGAAACGTTCTTGGGAGACATGTTTATGTTCAGTGTTTCTTAATGGGCAGGTGGGAAGGGCTCATGAAGCACCATGAAGAGGACAGGACAGCCCTCGTGTCACTATTCCCTCCTTTGGAAAATGGGGGACACCTCCTTGGCCACTGTACGTCCCTTATATATACATGATTGAGACAGAAGTATCTGGCATTTTATCACTGGAAGTCTATTAGCTGGTCCTCTGCTCAGCCACAGGCAGGGAGCTGGTGTCAGATGAAGACCTCATGCCCTGCAAGACACAGAGCGGGCTGGTGCTCAACCCACTAAGAATGGTCAGTTCATTGCACTGCATTCTGATCTGTGAAAACCGATAGCCGCCCACAGTACATCGGAATGGTGATTTGGCTTCCTGACCAAAATCAGAACCACTGCCCCACAAGTAGGGTGGTTCTTCTCGACATCATGGGACAAAAAAAGAAAATGCGGGCTTTCCTGAAACATCTATGACTCCTCAGAACGTCAGAACATCCAGGACCCCATTTTGCTGCCCCGCACCCAAGTACTGAGGCATCTACACTGCTCAGCTGTGTGGGCCATCACAGCGCTGGCTGTAGCTTCTTCATTGTGTCAGGAAGCCAGAGATGGTGCTGGTCCCCTGGCCCCATGTCTTTTGCTTCTTCACGACAGGCTGCACCGTTGGCTCAAAAGCCCACAGGCGCCACACTCAAACTTTCACCCATCCAACTGTTTTACATGTAGCTCAAACAACAGATTTTTGGCCATTTAGAGCCCACTTGCTTTTGCACACCCCCACAAAACACCAAACATCTGCTAGGCAGAGATGAGATAAAGCCAGGGCTACAGAAAGACCCTAAGCCCTGCTGCCCTTCAGAGCTCTACCCTAGGACCCCCTTGCTGAGTGACCCCATCCAGATACAGAAGCCCTCTCTCCCCAGGAGTTTCTCTGCCCTCCTTCTGGGAGTGGCCCACACTGGGGTCTCTGGAAGGTCCCGTGCTGTGAGGGACCCGCTGGTGTGCAAACCTGTCAGAGCCCCCCCCACACCAGGCGTGGTTAGGAGCTCAGCTTCAAGAGGAGATCCGTGGTCAAGGCCCACTCTACCACCCATTAGCCGAGCAACACGAGTCAAAGCACAGTCGTTCTGCAAGCCTCCGTTTTCTCATCTACAAAAATGCCTCATTGCATTAAGGTGAAGATTCAAGGAGATTGAGCCATGAAGACTGCACACGGCCTGGCAGATCAGTCACTCGATATGTGATAGCTCTTATAAGGGGCTCAATACTGTCCCCACCCCCGGCACCCTGTTCACCCGGTGTACTTATTTACAATTTCCACCCACCCTACATCCCTCCCTCCCTTACCAGGAATAATGCTGGTGACAGCTGGTATCTGTGCCTCAGTCCTGACTTCAGTGGGAGCTGTCCCCATGTTTCACTCTGAAGGATGCTGTTTGGTGTTAGGATGGAGAAGAACCTAGCAGTTCCTAGCAGAGCCCACTCTCTGGCACCCACCTCGAAGGAGTTCCTGCTTCCTAGTGAGACACTCGCGCTCCTTGTCACAGATCTCCCGCCTGTTGTCAGCAGTGATCTTCTTCATCGCCAGCTCCAGGTCCTCCTTCTGCTTGGCCAGGAAGTCCCGGTCCTGTGTGGGAGGGAGGAGGACAGACCTTTAGTGCCGGCCTTGGCGTCTCACCCTCTACTGTTGCTACAGAAGAAAAGTCATCACGAGCGGCAGAGAAAACATACGTGGGGAAATGTGAGGCTTAGAGACACGGCAACCAATTGTGGCACGTGCACTTTATGTAGACCCTGATTCAATCAAATTGTAAAAAAGAAAATTAATGAGACCATTGGAAATGTAACTAATGATTCAACTGCAAATGTGTCAATAAGTAATTGTTAACTATTTAAAGGTTTAGGTACGTTTATAGTATTGTGGATTTTTTGAGAGATACCTACTGAGACATTTACAGGTGAAATGACAGGATGTGTGGGATTTGATTTAAAATAACACAGAAGGGTGGGGGAGTGAGGGGGCATGAGTTCCTAATTCCCGAGATCAGGTAATAAGGGGCTTCCGGAGGAGAGACGATGGCCTCCGAGAAACAACCCGGGGATTCTGGAGGGGAGGGGGGCGGGGGGATGGGTGAGCCTGGTGATGGGTATTAAAGAGGGCACGTTCTGCGTGGAGCACTGGGTGTTATGCACAAACAATGAATCATGGAACACTACATCAAAAACTAATGATGTAACGTATGGTGACTAACCTGACAATAAAAAAATTTAAAAAAATAAGGGGGTTCCGGTTGTACCTTTCTGCCTATATTTTTAATTTGCCATAATAAAGAGTTAAAAATTAAAATTTAAATACTTTAGGGAACACCTAAGCAAAAACAAAAATCCCCACAAATCCTATCACCCAGGAGCAGCAACTGGTTTTGGGGTATCTATACAAACATGTTTACGTAAAAGGACTTAAGAGATTTGTACACCCATGTTCGTAACAGAATTATTCACAATAGCTACGGGAGAAATAACTATCCACAGACAGAAGAGTGCATAAACAAAATGTAGTATAGGTACACTGTGGAACGTTACTCAGCCCTGAAAAGGAAGGAAATTCTTACACATGCTACAACGCGGGTGAATCTCAAGGGCATGTTAATTGAAGTAAAGCAGACACAAAAGGACAAATACTGTATGATCCCATGTATAGTAGGTCAGATTCGTGGAGACAAAGTAGAATGGTGGTTGCCAGAGACTGGGGGAGGGGAATCATGGGGTGTTACTATTTATTCAGTAGTAGTTTCAGTTTTGCCAGATTAAGGGTTCTGGAGATGGGTGATGGGGATGGTTGGCACAATGGTGTGAATGTACGTAATACCACTGAACTGTACGCTTAAAAATGGTTAAGATGCTAACTTTTGTTGGGTCTATTTTACTGTAATTTTTAAAAAGTAAAAATACCTTTCCGTGTCATAATGTAATCTTCTATCAAATGAGTTTTAATGGCTAAAAATATTTCATGGCCCAGATGTACCCTAGCTTATTCACCCAATACCTAATAGGTTGTTTCCAGGTTATCTCTATTTTAGGTGGTGCTGCTCTTCACAATCTGGTAGCTAACTATCTGTAAACCTCTGTGATGATTTATCCTCAGGACTAGTCTCTAGAAACAGAAGATCCAAGCCAAGAATGTGCACATTTTTGAGGCTCTCGATGCCACTGCCAAAATGGCTTCCTTAAAGAGTCAATCTGCTCTCCCTTTGTGGGGATGGGGGCCGTCTCCCCGACCCTCCCCAGCCCGGAATTCTTTTTCTGATGATAGCATCAAGGGACAGGTTGTAGGACAGTATGATGGTGTCCTGGAGAGAACATGAAGTCTGGAGACAGACTGAGTTTGGGGCCGTGCCCCATACTGCTAACTCCGGAGAGTCACCTCCCTGAGCCTTAGTTTCTTCCTCTGCAAAGGGAAAAATGAACAGCACCCACCCTGGTAAGCCATGAATGCTAAACCGGATAATATACAAAGCATTTTTAAGTGTACATTTGGGGGCAGAGGAAGCAAACTGTACAGACTCCATAGTGGGAGGAAAGTGAGTACATGGTCTGACAAGGCTGGTGAGGCTGGGGCAGAGGGGACTGAGACGAGGTGGGAGAGGCTCTCTGGAGCCAGACCCACCGGGCCTTGTAAGCACATGAGGAGGCTGGTCTTATCTTATGGACAGAGTGGGAGCCACTGAAGGCTTTCAAGACACAAGGCTATAGGGGGAGAGTGACACGGTCAGATTTGGAGTTCATGTTGATCACACTGGCTGGTGGGAGAGGAAGCTGTAGGAGAGCAAGAGAGGAAGCAGGGAGACTAGCTGGGAGGCTGTTGCAGCAGTCGAGGCAAAAGATGACCATAGCTAGAGACTCACAGAGATGCAGACAAAGTGACGAGATCCAGAGACAGTTTGGAGCTCAAAAAAACAAAAACAAAAAAAAAAAAAAAAAAAACCCACGCTTTAGGAGGTGATAAAGGGTTGGAAGGAAAGGAGGTGTCAGCAATGACAATGACAAGGCTTTGGCCTGACACAGGATGGAGGACAGTGCCCCCTCAGAATCCAAGAACAGGGCCAGGCCTGAGAGATCGTGGGTTTGACACCTGAGATTCCAAAAGATGCCAAGTGGGCAGGTGGATGTACTGGGTTATTCAAGGAGATATGACATGCAAACAGCCCTAAGACGAGGCAGGAGGCACTAAACGCTTTGGAAGAGGTAGATGTAAAGGGCTGGGTGTCCAGAAGCCAGGGAGCTCACTTCTAGCTGGAGTGAGAGCAGTCAAGGAAGGCTGCCTGGGGAAGGTGCTAACAAGGATAGGCTGGATTTCAGCACTCAGAGTGAGAGATGGGTATGCAAGGGGCAAGGCATGGGCATAGACAGGGGGGGAACTTGATCATTCAGGGTCTCAAACCTGGGACTCTCCAGCCCCTCTGCTCCCCGACTGAGGGGCAAGGACTCACGAGAAGCTGCTTTTTCTGTGCGTGCTCCTCCATCTTCTGCTTCATGCTCTCCTTCCGCTGCTGCCTGGGGAGCTTCTCGACCTCGTTCTTCACCTGCACCAGAAATAGTGGAGAGTGGCAGGGTCAGGCTCCCTCCTCACATTTCCTAGAAAAGAAGTCTTCACCCCTGAACTCCTGGGTCAGGGAGACCAAAGACAGGGTTCAGCTTTCTAGACACTGGCCTCCAGCCCCACTCTCCACCACGCCCCTCGGATAGGTGGTCCCCACTGGCCTACTCCTGTCTGCTGCTGGCTCCGGTTTTGGACTCGCCTAGAGCGAAGAGGCGCTGCTTTTGCTGCTTGCTATCCAGCCCCCTTCTGATGGCGGCACCTCCCTTTCCCTTAGGGCAGCCTTTCTCAACCTTTAGACATTTTCTTCCTAATCACCTGCCCCCATGAAATAGTAATCCCATGGATAAACTATCAATCTGTTAAACCATTATAATAACCAAAGCTATTTTTAACCCCTCAGGAGTGCTAGCTCCCTGGTTAAGAAGACACACTTCAGGCACCGTCTCCTCAGCTCCTGAGGTTCAGGTGGGGCTGACTGCACCCACCCCCCCTCCATCTGGCTCGAGGCCGGGCACATGACGCAGGCTGCCAGTCACCATATTCCATGCCCTGGCCTCAGGGACTGGTTCAGAGATGAGCATATGACCCCAGATGGGCCAGTGAGAGCTTTAGGATGTATGCCGGAACTATCGAGGAAAGCTGCTCTCTCTCCTCTGGGGTTTCTAAACTGGGAGGATGGAGGCCACGGTGGGCCATCCTGGAGGGGCCTGCCTGAGACAAAACTCAGTGCCAGGAGGCAATGCCAAAACCTGAAAAGGAAGGATTCCTAGTGACATTTCTGCCCTCCTGGCCAGAGGCCAGCAAGCATACTCAAGCCAGCTGGAAATAGGCTTCTGTCTTTTATAAGAGAAGATGGAGAAGAGATTCATGACATTTCTCTCTAAGGCACCCAGAGTTCCTGAGACAGTTCTGAGGAACCCACACCTTTCCAGGTGTCTGACACCCCAAACTCACTGACAGGGCTCTTAGGAGCAGCTGGTGGAAAAATACTGTCCATGATCAAAAAACATTCCAGGGGAGTTCTTCCAGCATGGTGAGTGTAAGCCAAAGCAGCCTCTCTCTCCTACTGACTACAATGAAAAACCCTGGTAAAATACAAAAAGGAACTACCCAAGGGCTCTGAAAAGTAAACAAAAACAGGTGACCATGGAGGAGCCAAAACTTATAGAAGAGGTTAGGACAGTTTCCTATTTTTTTTTTTCCTTTTGTGCTCCTGGCTTTGCTCCAGTCCCAGACCTGCACAGTGGTGCAGTGGAAACACTAACACTCTAAGAAACCTCATGTTCTGGGCTTGTGCGGGTCAAAGAGTGTATGGGAAGAATCCCAGAGAGAAGGCAGCAGAAGGAGGGAAACCCTAATTCTGTGCATGAGTCCACACACATCTCAAGTTAACCCGAGCTGAGCGGGACAAGACAGACCCAAAGCAGTATAGCAGGGGCTTTGAAAACCACACTATGATTGGAGCCGCCACCCACAGAAGACAAGACAGAACCTATGGTCTGAGCCTACCAGGATCAGACTGCCTGCTAAAATAAAAAAGTCAACATTCTCTAGACTGTAACAGGACCCAGAGTCTACAGACAGTAACATTCAAAATGGCAATGATAAATCCAAACTTAACATATAAAGAATCAGGAACTAGACCTATTTTCAAAGAAAAAACCATCACATGCCAATTCCAGGATGACCCAGACACTGGAATTACCAGACAAAAACTTTAAAGCAGCTATTATAACTGCACTCCGTCAGGTGAAGGTAAACATACTTGAGGTTAATGGAAAGACAGAATGTTGCCACAGAGAAATACAAACCTTAAAAAAGAGACAAGGGGTGCCTGGGTGGCTCAGTTGGTTAAGCATCTGACTCTTGGTTTCAGCTCAGGTCATGATCTCAGGGTCATGGGATCAAGCCCCTTGTCAGGCTCTGTGCTCAGTGCGTAGTCAGCTTCTCCCTCTCCCTCTGCCCCTCTCCCACATGCACGCACATGTGCTCTCTCAAATAAATAAAATCTTTTAAAAAGAGACACGCAAAAAACTTAGGACTAAACAATACAGCATCTGACACTAAACACAGAAAGCACTGGACAGAGCCCAAGGTGGAATGGAGGTGACAGAGGGGCCAGGGAATTTGAAGAGCAAGTAATAAAAATTATACAACATGAACAAGAAAGAGAAAGGATTACAAAGACTAAAGTGTTAGAGACTTACAGGAAAATACCAAAGGTGTAATATTCGTGTTTTGGGGAGTGCCAGAAGGAAAGGAGAAAGAGATGGGTATAGAAAATGCACACCTATAATGGCCAAAACCTTCTGGCTTCCGTGGCAGTGAACAGCATCTTGAGAGTGGGGTTCCTCTCTCTTTTGCTCAGTACCCCCAGCACCTAGACAGTGCCATACGTGTGCATAGTCAATAAAAGAGGTGCTGAGTAGCTCTCATTTTGATAGGAGGTAAGTGGGACTCAGGAAAGTTGCTGTCCAAAGCTCAACATAGTTAGTGGTCCAGAGCCCAGACTCAGAACCAGGCCTGACTCCCAAGCCTGTGCTCCCTGCCCTGGAGCTGGGGGTGTGCTTAGTATCAGCACCGTACCCCAGCCCACTGGCCTGGCTCTCAGCAGGAGGGCCAGGTAAGGCCAGTGAGGCACTCATCTCAGGCATAAAAAGGAATACCATAAACTTCAGTAATCAAGATAAATTACATTTAAAAATTTTGGAATTCATGCCCAAAATCATGACTATCAAATTTTTTTTAAGATTTTATTTATTAGAGAGCGAGAGAGAGAGCACAGCAGGGAGAGCATCAGGAGAGGCAGAGGGAGAAGCAGGCTCCCCGCTGAGCAGAGGGCCTGACGTGGGGCTTGATCTAGGACCCTGGGACCATGACCTGAGCTGAAGGCAGACACTTAACCAACTGAGCCACCCAGGCGGCCCATGAATATCAAAATTTTAAATACAGACAGGATCCAGCCCTATATTTGCAGGACTCAAACTCATCACCTCACCCTAATCCTGGCCCTGTTGGATACTGACTTTAAGTAACTGACATTCTGTTCATCATGAATATTTTGCAGTAATTTTTATTTTAAAACACTACACTAGGATATTATTTATCTTGATGATTACCAAGGTTTTTGGCGCCCCCTTCAGTTTTGTGCCCACATGTCTCACCCCAGCCCTGCCCCTGCAGCTGCCTGAGGCGCCCTGGATACAACAAATGTCACACCCACACACCGCCGTCTGGGAGCTGGGCTCTGAGGCTGGCAGCACCACAGACCACCCTTAGAGGCTGTTCTGCAGACTGCGGATGGCCAACAATTATGGCCCAGCCTGCCAGTGACAGGCTCCACAGAGGGACGTGTGCACTGTTCTTTGGGACCCAGATGCCCTTCCCCAGGGCAGGCTGGGAAATCTGCCCCTCTCCCTTTGTCTCAGGACCATCTACCTCTTTGCCACCTCCCCCTTCCTCTTCCAGCTGGGAGAGGAAAGAGAAGAAGAGCCACGTGGGTCCCAACTAGGGGACTGCTGTTTGGGCAGAAGAAGGGCAGGGCACAGAAGACATACTGCGTTTGCCACCCAGCAGCCGCTCCCCCTTCTGGTCAAAGCATCTCAGATCCCCCTGGGCTGCCATCCCTTCCTTCTCCCCTGCTCTCTTTCAGCTGGGGTTGCTATGCTGGGAGGATGTCCAGGAAGCTGCCTGGGAGTCAAGTCAACCCAAGACAGCAGAGCCCAGATGATGGAGAAGTGGCTCCTCACGGTGCAGCTGGAGCACGTAAACCCAGACACATGACGTGAGCTCAGGTACACGAGCTCCCCAAATTCCCTCCGCTGCTGAAGTGGGGCTCGGCTGGGGTTTTGATCACTTGCAACCTAGACACCCCAGCCTCCACCCAACACATATTCACCTCCTTCTTCATCAGTTTGAGCTGCTCCTGGAACCTGGTGTAGTCCCGATCCTGCTCCAGCCGGATCCGCCTGGCTTCCTCCCGGCGGCGCACACCATGGTCCTGCTCCATCCTCTCCACTTGCTGTTTCTGTTGACGCTCCAGGTTCTCCAGCTCCGTGTCAAAGAACTTCTTCTTGGCCTGGAAGGAGCAGAAGGAGAAATTCAGCAAAGTCACTCTATACCTGGGAGGAAGATGGGAAGCAAGATGGGGAGAGCCCAGAGCTTATCTTCAGACCTGGGCTTGAATCCCAGCTCAACCACCTCTTTGCCCTGTGACCTGGGACAAGTCACCTAACCTTGGTGAGTCTCTGTTTCCTCATGTGCAAAAGGCAGACCGGACTGTCTACCTTGTATGGTACTCAACAAAGGTCAGTCTCCCTCTGGACACCCTCCCGAATGACTCAGAAAAGCACTGGGGCTTTCATGAGATTCTGGGTTTACAAAGCCAATGCCTCAGGAGATCAGGAAAGCACAGGAATTGGGCTCTCTACTGCCCTTAAAGAAAACACGGAGCAAGAAGCCCTCCAGGGACCCATCCTTTCTCACACTCACATTGATTTCTTGTTCAAAACGTTTATGCATCTGCTCCAGCTGCAGTTCATGCTTGCTGCTCAGCTGGGTCTGGTTCCGGTGTTCTTCTTTCTGGAGGAGCCGAAGCTCTCGGAGCTCCTGGCGCCTGAAGAGTGAAAGGATGTGCACCTCAGCAATCACGTTAACTCTGGCTAGAGACACTGGAGGCTGGCACATGGAACGGGGCAGAGGCAGGACTAGAACTCAGGCTGAACTTGACATTTATTGACAGGCAAAACATTAATATCAATGTATAAAGAATCTATTATAAAGAATCAATGTACAAATCTATTAGAAAAACAGGAGGAGCCTACTTTTAAAAAGGAACACAAAACACGAATAGACATGAAAGAAAAAACAAAAAGAAATTTTAAAATTACCTAATATGGATATGAGGTACAAATTAAAAATTCCATTTTCATTAAAAAGGCAAGAGGGGCAATTGATATTTTCATAACCTGCCAGTATGGACTGGTACATTCTGGAGGACAACTGGTAATAAGTTCGTGCCTTTTGATACAGTATTTCCACTTCTAGATATTGATTCTATAGAAATATTCATAGATGCACAACTGAATAAGGATATCCATAACAAAATTACTCATAATAGTCCAAAACTAAAAATGACTTAAATGTTCATCATATAGGTCTAATTAAATTAAAACACATCCACCAGATGTTAATTTTGTGTACACAACCATGAAAAAAATCAAGTTTTAAAAAATATTTAATTACATGAAAAAACATCTATTAAAAATGGGACAATTTTTTTAAAAAAATGTAACAATTCTACATGAATAGATTTAGAATGATCTCTAAGTGAAAAAAGCAAGATGTTGACAAGTGGATCTATTATTGTTACCCTACCTTATGGGAGAAAAATAAAAAAAAATTATATGTCTGTGTGTGTGTGTTCACTTTCCTATTTAAACACGGTACTTCAAGAAGGATTACATATAAAATATTAACACAGAGAGGGGAACCAGATGCCTGGCAAGAAAGGGAGGGAGGGAGATTTTTCACTATTTACCCTCTTCTTTTTTTTTTTTTGTTTTCATTTCTTTGAATTTTGAACCATGACATTGTATTAACTATTCAAAATATCAATACAATAAAAACTTGACCTAAACCACAGAGTACACCTTAATTTTGTAACACATATATTGTCGATGTGTGTGTATATGTGTTTATGTGTTTACACACACACACACACACACAAATAACTGCAGGATAAACTCCAAAGTGTTAACTGTGTTTCTTTCTGGGCAAATCCACTAAAGATTGATATGTATCATTTATGTCATCAGAAAAGAAAATGATGAAGAACGTGGGCTTCCTATGAATCAGGGCTCCCTGGCAGGCTCTCAGGATTTGGGTCCATGAGGCCTGTGTCCTGTTCTTAGCCAGAGTCCACCTGCCCCCCAACTAGAGGCCAGCACGCTTCTGGGGGTCAGAGGAACATTGTTTGAATCTTAGCTCTGCTGACTTCCAGCTGTGTGCACTCAGGCAGTCACTCCATCTCTAGGCCCCTCTTCCTGCATCTGTAAACTGCACAGATCATGTCTACCTCTCAGGTTCTTTGAGAGCTAAATGCGGGGATGCCTGTTGTACCCCGCCCCTCCCCCCCAGCATGCGCAGACAAGTGGTAAAACTCGCTAACTTTGTTACTAAGTGGTAGCTGCTGGAGTGATCGTAACAAGAGGCAAAGGCTTCTAGGTCTCTGGGAAACCAGAGACACTCTTCACAGCCACAAAGAAGCTTCCATCTGAGCCTCTGCTCTTTGGGCAGTAAGAAGGTTGAGAGTGTTAACAAGACACAGAAATCCTGACTCCAAAGAAACTTAAGGCTCAGAGAACACCTGACCAAAAAACAAAGGAATACAAAAGAAGGTGGGCGGCCAGGTTCGAACACTAACTCCCTGCCCCACCTGGGTTCCCACAAGGGAAAGCAGGCCGAGAGACAGACTGATGTCTTATAGAAGGAAGGCACTGGCCCCAGCAATTTTAGGGAAAAGGAGAAAGAACTCTGACCTAGAAGCCTCAATCTGGGAAAGTGAATATCTGGTGACACAGTTCAAAGCCTGTATGTGACCCAATTCTCTGGAAATCCTAGCATCCATGAAGGCCAGGGGGTGGACTGGGGGTGCAGTGGGGGGCAGCAGCCAGCCAGGGAACAATGAGAGCCTTCCACCACCCCTGCGCAGCCTGGCAGCCTAGCCGGGTATACAGGACACTTGGCCCTCCGGACTGGGAGAGAGGCCCTCGGCCTCTGCGAAGACTCACCTTTCAAACCTCAGCAACACACAGCTCCTCTGCTCAGCAAAAGGGTGGGGGCCTAGGGCCAGGGCTAGAGGGCATCAATTCTAGATGGGGTATGGTGGGGATCTACAGTTTCAACCCAGGAACCCGAACTGCCCAGAGAGATGATGATGATGGAAAGGAAACTCAGCCCTTGAGGTCTGAAGCTTAGGAGAACAGGTCATCTCCCAGGCGACCAGGAAAGTGGAAGGTGGTGTCATCCTCCAAGAGCAACCATCCTCCCACCCTCTGTCGTGAGCCTCCCCAAACCCCATGACCAGGATGTGTGTGTGTGTGCGCGCGCGTGTGTACACGTGTACATGCAATCATGCAGAAATGCAGAAACACCACTGATGAAAAGTCAGCCTCTCATCTTTGTGGTGCCCAGAGAGGGTAAGTGCCCCAGAGCATCCAAAACTGCTAGAGTTTGGCTTTGGAATGCTTGTGCTTTTTTAAAAGATAAATGTGTTTGATGTTCTAGAAATATTCTCCAACTAATAATGAATTTATCCTGCAAAGGTCTGGCTCCGAGGGAGCTCTGTGGCTCCAAGGCCTCCCTGACTGCTCAGCCCCCCACCCCTGGCAGCCCCAGGAAGCTTCCGGTCCAGTGGAAGCCTGCTAGAACCCTCCCACAGATAGGTCTAGTTAGAATCGCAGCTCTAGCTTCTCACCTGGGTGACCCAAGGCAAATAACTTACCTGCCAAGAAACACTGTCCTCATTTACAAAATTGGGGAAATGGCATCTCCCTGAGGAGGGCTGTTAGGGGGCCTGAGCACCTCCAAAGTGCAGAGATGGCTCCCAGCAGACAGTTTTGCCTCACACGCTCCTCCCCTCACCAGTCTCACTGGTTCTGACTCCAAGATGTATGTTGAACTGACCCCTTCTTCCCTCCTCCCAGCCACTGCCCCAGCCCAAGCCTGCAGCCTGACTGTGCTGGACAGGGTCTCCCTGTCACCCTGTGCAGTGTCGCCCTCTACAGCCCACACTCCTGCAGCTTCCAGAGCCATCTTTCCGAAGGGAAAAGCAAGCCAGTCACTCTCCAGCTATCTTACTCTGGCTGCCCCTGGGGTAAAATCCACACTCCACCCTGGCCCACAGGCCTACGTGACCGCTGCCCTCACGCCGCACACTCCAACCCTATCCTCTCAGCCTCCTAAACAAGCCCAGCAGTCACTCCTTGGGCCTTAGCTTTGCAGCTCCCTCTGTGCGCCCCCCAGCTGCTCCACTCGGGGTCTCCCACACACAGGGCAGCCTCCCCCCAACCCAGGGGCTCACTATCGTATCACCCAGTACTTCCTTCACAGCGTGTACTACAATTGGGGATGACTTTTTATCACGTGTTGGCCCATCAGGTCTAAGTTCTACAACGGCGACAGCCTCAACTATCTGGATTGCTACCATGTCCCCCAACCTGGTAGACGGGCAAGTACCTGGGTAGATGGACTGATGGATGGGTGGGTGAGTGAGTAGATGAATGGATGGGTGAATAGATGAGTGGAGGGATGGGTAGGTGGCTGAGTGGATGGGTGAATGAGTGGATGGATGGGTGGGT